CTAACCATCTTCAAAATGTGGTTGTCTTTTCTATGTAGGGATGAGGGTCAGATTTTCAGTGATGTTGGCTAATGTTAGCTTCCCCAGCTAATTGGCTGCGCGGTGTGGGTCTGGTGTTGGTTGCTTCGTGGTGTTGGCTGATGGGTGATTTGTAAACAGCGAGCTAGTTAGTAGCATGGAACTAACGGTCCAAATAAAATATAGGAACATTGCAGATAGTAACGTTATTCTGCAGTTCGCTGAACGGCCACTGTTGGCGCTGTTAGCTACAGTTTAATGACAGTTACAGAGAGAAGCTTTACGTTTAGGAACTCAAACCCATAGTACAGTTTATTTGTTTACTTGCAGTCAGATATTCAATTCAATTCAATTAAATTTTATTTGTATAGCGCCAATTCATAACAGAAGTTATCTCAGGACACTTTTCAAATAGAGCAGGTCTAGACCGAACTCTTTAACATTAATTACAGAGACCCAACAGTACCACCATGAGCAAGCACTTGGCGACAAGGGCAAGGAAAAACTGCCTGTTAAAAGGCAGAAACCTAGGACAGATCCTCCGGCTCTAGGTGGGTGGTCGTCTGTCTCGACCAGTTGGGGTGAGAGAGAGAGAGAGAGAGAGAGAGAGAGAGAGAGAGAGAGAGAGCGACAGACAGACAGACAGGTGCACAGCAACAACAGTATTGGCAATGGCAGTCAAGCAGGACCATGGCAGGAGGCTCCACCAGGATCCATGAGAACCTGCGAGACGAGAAAGTACAAGAACTCCGGGGAAGAAGTGGAGTTAGTAACATGCATTAAAGGGACATGAATGAGTGCAGAAAGAGAGAGGAAGAGAGTAGCTCAGTGCACCACGGGAAATCCCCCGATAGTCTAGGCCTATAGCAGCATAACTAAGGGATGGTTCAGGACTCACCTGATCCAGCCCTAACTATAAGCTTTATCAAAGAGGAATGTCTTAAGCCTACTCTTGAATGTGGTGAGGGTGTCTGCCTCCCGAACCACAACTGGAAGCTGGTTCCACAGGAGAGGAGCTTGGTAACTGAAGGCTCTGGCTCCTGTTCTACTTTTAGAGACTATAGGAACCACAAGTAGCCCAGCATTCAGAGAACGTAGTGTTCTAGAGGGGTAATAGGGTACTATGAGCTCTTTAAGATATGAAGGGGCCTGACCATGAAGAGCTTTATAGGTGAGGAGGAGTATTTTAAATTCAATTCTACATTTTATAGGGAGCCAATGCAGAGTAGCTAGTACAGGAGAGATGTGATCTCTTTTTCTAGTTCCTGTCAGTACTCGTGCTGCAGCGTTCTGAATTAATTGGAGCGTTTTAATGGACTTATTGGGGCAACCTGATAATAAAGAGTTGCAGTAATCCAGCCTTGAAGTAACAAATGCATGGATTAGTTTTTCTGCATCTGTCTGTGATAGTATGTGTCTAATTTTTCTAATATTACGTAAATGAAAGAAGGCAGTCCTAGAGGTCTGCTTTATGTGGGAGTTAAATGACAAATCCTGATCAAAGATAACTCCAAGATTCCTGACAGTGGTGCTAGAGGCCAAGTTAATGCCATCTAGAGTGACTATATCTTTAGACAATGAGTCTCTAAGGTTTTTGGGGCCAAGAACAAGAATTTCGGTTTTTTCTGAGTTTAACATCAGAAAATTGCAGGTCATCCAGGATTTTATGTCCTTAAGACATGTTTGTAATTTAGATAATTGATTAATTTCATTGGGTTTGATTGATAGATATAACTGCGTATCATCTGCATAACAGTGAAAGTTAATGGAGTGATTCCTAATAATGTTGCCTTAAGGGAGCATATATAAAGTAAATAGTATTGGTCCAAGTACAGAACCTTGTGGAACTCCATGACTAACTTTAGTATTTATGGAGGATTCATCGTTAACATGTACAAACTGAGAACGATCTGATAAGTATGACTTAAACCAGGTTAGGGCAGTTCCTTTAATGCCAATTTGATGCTCAAGTCTCTGTAAAAGAATATCATGGTCAATGGTGTCAAATGCAGCACTAAGATCTAATAATACAAGTACAGAGACAAGTCCATTGTCAGAAGCAGTCAGAAGGTCATTATTAACTTTAACCAGAGCTGTCTCTGTGCTATGATGAACTCTAAATCCTGACTGAAAATCCTCAAATAAACTATTGTTATGTAGAAAGTCACACAACTCTTTGGCGACTACTTTCTCCAGAATCTTAGAGAGGAACGGGAGGTTAGAAATCGGTCTATAGTTGGCTAAAACCCCTGGGTCAAGAGTAGACTTTTTAAGAAGGGGTTTAATTACAGCTACTTTAAAGGACTGTGGTACATATCCTGATAATAAAGAAAGATTAATCATATCCAGTAAAGAAGTGCCAATTAAGGGAACAACTTCTTTAACCCTGTAAGACCCAAATATAGAAAAACCTTTAAAAAAAATTATTTTACCTTTCAGATGTTGTTGTAGTAGGCCTTTGATGCAGAAATTAAAGAGTTTTTAAAAAAATAATGTTTATGTAAGTTTATAGAGAAATGTTGTAATATTGCAACATTGGGCTTAGGTGGGAGCAGAATTTCTGTATTTGTACTCATGTTGTCTGAACAACAATTCAGAACAACTACGGGTTAATTTGCAGGGTTGATTGCTTACTTAGCCCCATAAAGGTATATAACATTAATAATAATCACACATTAGTCATATTTTTATGAAGTCATTTATTAAAAAAACTGTTAAACAGGATAAAACTCTAGCTTTTTCTAGCAACTTCTTCATTCCTTTTTCCTTTTCATGACTGACTTTCATTGTTAGTGAAAGTCACAAAAACAGTTCTTGTCCTCTGAAAAGCAAAGGCGAACATCACACTTGCTGCATTGGTGTTGGTGTATCCTTTATTGCAGTGTCTGCAGCGTCCCTCCCTGTCTTCACTGGGAAATGCGCAACTAGGTCCTTGCGTACATCCAATGTAAGGTGTGCACATCTCTTGGATGGTCTCTTCTGAGCATTCAGAGGGCTTTCTGATGTCACTGTCTGTGATGCTGGGCTCCCTTTGCCTGAAGATGGCCATCCTCTCTTTGGATTTCGAAGTGTTGTGCCTGAAAACTGTCTCCTGTTCATTGTCTCTTTGCTAGACATCTTGAGAGCTTTGCAGTCCCGCTTGTAGAGGAGCCAGGCATTGACCACAGCGAGGATGATGGTGTGCCAGAAGATGTACATGTACCAGCGACGGGATTTGATGGGGAACTTATATTTGGCTGTAAATGAGTCCAACAAATCCATACCTCCCATGTACTTGTTGTAGGCACCAACAATGTAAGGCCTCTCAACTTCAGTGTAGGTTCTGGTGGCTTTGTCCCAGCGTTGAATCTTCTGCACAGGTTCAGTTCAAGCAAAGGATGTGTGACGGCCCTGTTGTCATACCATTTGACAGCACAGATGTTGTGATTCCCCTCCACTCTGACATCATAGCTTCATCTCCCCTTTTTCTTCAAGCTCTTCTCGTCTTCAAGGTTACAGTAGGGTAGGCGCACCTGCCTGGCTGTTCCCACGTAATGAATTCCCCGATCAAGGTGTTTCACTAATAATGGAACACAGGTGAAGTAGTTGTCTGCATACATTTTGTAGTTCTGACCTTCTGGATGTGTGGAAGCAAGCTTCATCACAACATCACCTGACAATCCAAGTTCAGATTTGGCTCGTATTCCGTTGACATTGCCTTGGTAGACGTCACACATCATGCCAGAGATTCCAGTTCTCACCCACACTTTGAATCCCCATGGGTTTGGCTTGCCTTGCATATATTGCTTGATGCTGCTGAATTTCCCCTTGATAGGATACTTTCATACTGTCTTGACAGCTTGTTATGCTCTCTACTTATCATGCTAAAAGAAATATGCATCCCAATCACCAGCCATTTAGTCAAACAATACTGCCTTGACATAACAATACTGCGTTTTGTGCTCTCTAATTATCATACTAAAAGGAAAACATGCATACCCCCACTTATATCCACACCCCACATTCAGGAACATTTTCACCTTTCCCAGAACTGAATTGTCTGTTGATATCCTCTTTGTGGACAAAGTCATGGAATTTTAGGTCAGTCTGGTCAAATTAACTACATTTTTTAGAGATAAAACTTTTAAATCAGTCAAATTTGACCAGAACACAACACAAGGTTAGAATGTATACTGTCCATGTATAAAGAAAATACTTTGTTAGAGGCAGTGGTGTAGTGGAGGGAATGCAACCTGTTTGGGCCCACTGCAACAAGCCTGCTATTTTGACTACCACACTCACCCAGTGTTGTAGAATTGCAACAAATATATAACAAGCTCTAAATGAAATTTGATGAATCTATTCCACAATAACTACATATGTACATGCTCTGGACATTGTAATAACAACCAAAAAAATGTAAAAGACATTTTACTTACTAGAATCTGATGAATTTAGTCCAATGAAACAAAGAGATGTTGTTCGAAAGAAACCTTGAGAAGTTGAGTGAGTTCATGGCCATAAGGCGGGACTTATAAACAAATGTACCATCCAATAGCATTGTGAGACTGAACAATAGGACCCAATGACTATGTAAATGTGGTAAAACATAAGATAAAATATAACAGATTGTTTTTTAGAATGGCTAAAGGTAACGTTGTAATTTTACAACAAGGGGTGTTACAGGGTTAAGCAGCCTAGTTGGGATCGGGTCTAACAGACAGGTTGATGGCTTCGATGAAGAAATGATTGAAGTTAACTGATGAAGATCGATAGCAGAAAAACAGTCTAAATATATATCTAAGTTTACATTGACAGAAGTCCCTGAACTTGGAGAGCCACTGATAACTGTTGATGGCAGTTGGTGATTAATTTTTTCTCTAATAGTAATAATTTTATTATAGAAGAAGCTCATGAAGTCATTGCTACTTAAGTTTATGGGGATATGTGGCTCGATAGAGCTGTGACTCTCTGTCAGCCTGGCTACAGTGCTGAAGAGGAACCTAGGGTTGTTCTTATTTTCTTCTATTAGTGCTGAGTAATAGGCTCCTCTGGCATTACGGAGGGCCTTTCTATAAATCTTAAGATCATCTTGCCAATTTGAGCGATATTCTGATAATTTGGAAGAGCGCCATTTCCTTTCAGATTTCCTAGCTATTTGCTTTAACTGGCGGGTTTGGTGGTTATACCAAGGTGCTAGTCTCCTATGTTTTAATAATTTCCTTTTTATAGGAGCGATAGAGTCTAATGTTGATCGTAGTGAGCCTGTAGCACTATCGACAAGATTATCAATTTCAGAGGGACTAAAGTTGTTATAGGACTCTGTTAAATTCAGACATGGCATTGAATTAAACACTGAAGGAATCTCCTCCTTAAATTTAGCTACAGCACTGTCAGATAGACATCTGCTGTAGGAAATTTTGCCTAATGGCTTATAATCTAATAGTATGAATTCAAAAGTTATTAAATAATGGTCAGATAGGAAAGGATTATGTGGGAAGACTGTTAAATGTTCAATATCAATGCCATATGATAAAACAAGGTCAAGAGTGTGATTAAAACAATGAGTTGGTTTATTTACACTCTGACAGAAGCCAATTGAGTCTATTAATGATATAAATGCATTACTAAGGCTGTCATTCTCAACATCCACATGAATATTAAAATCACCTACAATAATTACTTTATCTGATTTAAGGACTAAGCTTGATAGAAACTCTGAAAATTCAGATATAAAATCAGAGTACGGTCCAGGAGCGCGGTACACTATAACAAATAAAACTGGCTGCAGTGTTTTCCAGTTTGGGTGAGAAAGACTAAGAACAAGGCTTTCAAATGAATTATAATTTAGTTTAGGTTTAGGGTCCATTAAAACGCTCGAATCATATATAGCTGCTACTCCACCTCCTCGGCCTGTGCCTCGAGGAATGTGAGTATTAATATGACTGGGGGGGGGGATTCATTTAGGCTAACATACTCCTCGTGGGACAACCAGGTCTCAGTAAGACAAAGTAAATCAATATCATAATCTGATATTAATTCATTCACTAAAACAGCTTTAGAGGACAGAGACCTGATATTTAACAGCCCACATTTCATTCTCTTATTTTGTGCTACTGAGGAGTTGGTTTTAATTTTTATTAGATTTTTATGTTGAACTCCTCTTGTTTTTATTTCTTTAAATAGTTTAGGTGGTCGGGGGACAGACACAGTCTCTATGGGGTTTTGGGTGGGTGACTGTTCTAAAGAAAGCGCAGAGGAGTGTGTAAGACAGCAGCTCTGCTTCCTGGTCCTAACTCTGGACTGTGTGCTGAGTGAGCTCAGCTCCTGTTTGCAGTGAGTACAGAAGAACTGCTGATGATTATCAGTAAATGTTTGATCAGATCTTTCTGCTTGTGAATGTATTCAACAAAAAATTAATGAACTAAGTCTAACTAACTAACTAACTAACTCAGTCGGTCAGATCATTTCTGCTTCCAGAACGACTTCAACATGTTTGTGTTTAAACTGGAGTCATGGAGATTCCCAGCTGACTCACTGCAGAGGAAACGTTTTACACTGAACTCAACTCCACCTAAAGCCTCCTCCTTCGTCCATCCCTCCATACACAGCTATAAAATCATTTCTCCTTTACCAACACCCCCCCCTCTCTCTCTCTCTGTCTCTCTCTCTGTGTGTCAGTGTTAAATTATAATAATGATGTTTGTGTTTCTCTCTGCTGCTGCTGTCGGGAATCTTTACTGTCAGTAGACTGATGGTGGCGGTACGTCCTGCTGGAGGTCTGTTAGTACTGTTAGCACTGTTAGCACTGTTAGCAGCTGTCATAATTCATTGTTTTGTGGCTGTGGAAGCAACAGTTTTTTATTATTATGAGTCATTTTTCATTATTCAGTCCCTCCAGGATCTAACATAATTCCTGATTTCACAGCAGCTTTTCAAAAAAATTCTGATGCATGCTGTTTGTTGGTTTTGTTTTGCAATTAAATTGTGGGACAAAGTGAAACTTTAAAAATAGTTGCGATTTTTTTTGTATAATTAATTAAAGTGGAAGGCAACGTGTTTGAGTGAGAATAAAATCTCTAGTAGTTTGGGGACGTTTGGCTCAACGTTTTGGGGGACTGTGATTGGTGGAACTCACAGGAAACTATAATGATTGGACAAAATTGCAAAGTCGTGCAGAAATTTGTTGAATTTGTGTTCATTTTTGCAAAATCCCAACTAAGAATGTGTGTGATTAGTCAACCAGTAGGTTAAATGTTAATGTGGCCATTAACGTCATAACTTCCTGGCGGGACTGGTTAGCTTCAGTCTTTTTGTTCCTACATCACAACTTGATTTGATCATTTCATTCATACTTTTTCATCATATATATCATATCGTTAAACTATGTTTACAGGACCATTTGTTTTTGTCTTTTCTGGTGCTGATGTGTATTTCATAAAGTCACTGATGAGAACTGACGATGTTCAGGGCTGTTAGACTGATGCTGACGGTGTGTGGTTGGTCCTCCTCCAGGTTTCACCCTCAATAACACCATCTACCAGCTGCTGGTGGCTCGATACTCTGACCCCGACATGACCATCGACTTCGACAACTTCGTGGCCTGTCTGATGAGGCTGGAGATGATGTTCAGTGAGTCATCCACAAGACAAATATAGAAACATATTGCATTAAAACTTTGAGGCAGAGGTTCACTACAACTCCCAAGATTCATTTCAGCAAGAAACATGTTCAGAAAACACTTTGGGACTAAAGAACTGCTCAAATCAGTATTTACAAAGTCAGCTGAGTAAGCTAATGAGCTAAACAAGCTAACTAGCACACCTTCAAAATGTTTGTGTCAGATGTGTGACTCATCTTCCTCCTCAGGGATCTTTAAGAAGATTGATGCTCACGACAGCGGCTCCATCGAGCTCGACTTCGACCAGGTGACAACTTTATTATCACTGTACAAACGCAACTTTATTATCACTGTACAAACGCAACTTTATTAACACTGTACAAACACAACTTTATTATCACTGTACAAACGCAACTTTATTATCACTGTACAAACGCAACTTTATTAACACTGTACAAACGCAACTTTATTATCACTGTACAAACGCAACTTTATTAACACTGTACAAACACACAACTTTATTAACACTGTACAAACACACAACTTTATTATCACTGTACAAACGCAACTTTAATAACACTGTACAAACGCAACTTTATTAACACTGTACAAACGCAACTTTATTATCACTGTACAGACACACAACTTTATTAACACTGTACAAACGCAACTTTATTATCACTGTACAAACGCAACTTTATTAACACTGTACAAACGCAACTTTATTATCACTGTACAAACACAAGTTTATTATCACTGTACAGACACACAACTTTATTATCACTGTACAAACACAACTTTATTAACACTGTACAAACACACAACTTTATTGTCACTGTACAAATACAACTTTATTATCACTGTACAAACACACAACTTTATTATCACTGTACAAACACAACTTTATTAACACTGTACAAACACAACTTTATTATCACTGTACAAACACAACACTATATTAACACTGTACAAACACAACTTTATTAACACTGTACAAACGCAACTTTATTAACACTGTACAAACACAACTTTATTATCACTGTACAAACGCAACTTTATTATCACTGTACAAACGCAACTTTATTAACACTGTACAAACGCAACTTTATTATCACTGTACAAACGCAACTTTATTAACACTGTACAAACACACAACTTTATTAACACTGTACAAACACACAACTTTATTATCACTGTACAAACGCAACTTTATTATCACTGTACAAACGCAACTTTAATAACACTGTACAAACGCAACTTTATTAACACTGTACAAACGCAACTTTATTATCACTGTACAGACACACAACTTTATTAACACTGTACAAACGCAACTTTATTATCACTGTACAAACGCAACTTTATTAACACTGTACAAACGCAACTTTATTATCACTGTACAAACACAAGTTTATTATCACTGTACAGACACACAACTTTATTATCACTGTACAAACACAACTTTATTAACACTGTACAAACACACAACTTTATTGTCACTGTACAAATACAACTTTATTATCACTGTACAAACACACAACTTTATTATCACTGTACAAACACAACTTTATTAACACTGTACAAACACAACTTTATTATCACTGTACAAACACACAACTTTATTATCACTGTACAAACACAACTTTATTAACACTGTACAAACACAACTTTATTATCACTGTACAAACACAACTTTATTAACACTGTACAAATACAACTTTATTATCACTGTACAAACACACAACTTTATTATCACTGTACAAACACAACTTTATTAACACTGTACAAACACAACTTTATTATCACTGTACAAACACACAACTTTATTAACACTGTACAAACACACAACTTTATTATCACTGTACAAACACAACTTTATTAACACTGTACAAACACAACTTTATTATCACTGTACAAACACACAACTTTATTATCACTGTACAAACACACAACTTTATTATCACTGTACAAACACGTTATCAGTGATTTGGGTGACACTGGATCACATTTAATGGGGAGAATATTGTCTGGTTGTCTCTCTGACGTCCTCCAGCTGCTCTGCCTGAACTCCAGTAACTGCTAATGTAGCTGCCATTAGCAGCGGAACCGGGCTCAGCAGCCACCCAGTGAACAGACATGGGACAGTTTGACAACAGTGGTACCGAGATGATTAACTGAGTGTCCTGAAATACTTGTTGCTAAAAGTAATGTTAGCTGCTGTTAGCTAGTTATCTCATGAAGCTAATGTTAGCCAACTTAGCCCTGGGGTGACAAGAGCCAAAAACGACAATAAAACCACCTCAGTCCTTTATTCCCTGTAGTCAAACTCTCCTCCGTCAGCATCAGATGCTTTCTGGACCTGCTGTTCACTGGGAACTCCCAGTCCAACATAGTCAGCTAATGGATCCACTACTGCTGGACTGTTGACTTACTAACAATTCAATTCAATTCAATTCAATTCAGTTTTATTTGTATAGCGCCAATTCATAACAGAAGTTATCTCAGGACACTTTTCAAATAGAGCAGGTCTAGACCGAACTCTTTAAAACATTAATTACAGAGACCCAACAGTACCACCATGAGCAAGACCTTGGCGACAAGGGCAAGGAAAAACTGCCTGTTAAAAGGCAGAAACCTAGGACAGATCCTTCGGCTCTAGGTGGGTGGTCGTCTGCCTCGACCAGTTGGGGTGAGAGAGAGAGAGACAGAGAGAGACAGAGAGAGAGACAGACAGGTGCACAGCAACAACAGTATTGGTAATGGCAATCTAGCAGGACCATGGCAGGAGGCTCCACCAGGATCGATAAGAACCTGCGAGACGAGAAAGCACAAGAACTCCGGGGAAGAAGTGAAGTTAGTAACATGCATTAATGGGACATCAATGAGTGCAGAAAGAGTAATTATAAGTAATAATAATAACACTAATATCAGTGATATTAGCAATGGCAGTCAAGCAGGACCATGGCAGGAGGCTCCACCAGGATCCATGAGAACCTGCGAGATGATAAAGCACAAGAAGTGAAGTTAGTAACATGCATTAATGGGACATGAATGAGTGCAGAAAGAGAGAGAGGCAGAGAGGAGCTCAGTGCACCATGGGAAATCCCCCGATAGTCTAGGCCTATAGTAGCATAACTAAGGGATGGTTCAGGACTCACCTGATCCAGCCGTAACTATAAGCTTTATCAAAGAGGAATGTCTTAAGCCTACTCTTGAATGTGGTGAGGGTGTCTGCCTCCCGAACCACAACTGGAAGCTGGTTCCACAGGAGAGGAGCTTGGTAACTGAAGGCTCTGGCTCCTGTTCTACTTTTAGAGACTATAGGAACCACAAGTAGCCCAGCATTCAGAGAACGTAGTGTTCTAGAGGGGTAATAGGGTACTATGAGCTCTTTAAGATATGAAGGGGCCTGACCATGAAGAGCTTTATAGGTGAGGAGGAGGATTTTAAATTCTATTCTACATTTTACAGGGAGCCAGTGCAGAGAAGCTAGTACAGGAGAGATGTGATCTCTTTTTCTAGTTCCTGTCAGTACTCGTGCTGCTGCGTTCTGAATTAATTGGAGTGTTTTAATGGACTTATTGGGGCAACCCGATAATAAAGAGTTGCAGTAATCCAGCCTTGAAGTAACAAATGCATGGATTAGTTTTTCTGCATTTGTCTGTGATAGTATGTGTCTAATTTTTGTAATATTACGTAAATGAAAGAAGGCAGTCCTAGAGGTCTGCTTCATGTGGGAATTAAATGACAAATCCTGATCAAAGATAACTAAGAGAGAATAAGAGGCCAAGGTAATGCCATCTAGAGTAACTATATCTTAAGACAGTGAGTCGCTAAGATTTTTGGGGCCAACTACAAGAATTTCGAGTTTAACATCAGAAAATTGCAGCTCATCCAGGATTTTATGTCCTTAAGACATGTTTGTAATTTAGATAATTGATTAATTTCATCGGGCTTGATCGATAGATATAACTGCGTATCATCTGCATAACAGTGAAAGTTAATGGAGTGATTTCTAATAATGTTGCCTAAAGGGAGCATATATAAAGTAAATAGTATTGGTCCAAGTACAGAACCTTGTGGAACTCCATGACTAACTGTAGTATTTATTGAAGATTCATCGTTAACATGTACAAACTGCGAACGATCTGATAAATATGACTTAAACCAGTTTAGTGTGGTTCCTTTAATGCCAATTTGATGCTCAAGTCTCTGTAAAAGAATACTATGGTCAATGGTGTCAAACACATTCAGAGTCTGTTTGAGAACCAGGACCTGGTCCAGCAGTGACAGTAATGTCAGTAAATTACAGTATGAATGAATAATAAAAGCTCAGATGTTGACTTTAACCTGCTTTCTGTCTTCTTCCTGCAGTGGTTAAACTTCGCCATGATCTGAGCCGTCGCTCCGCATTCGCCCGGAGCTTCAGTGTTACTGCACAACGCCATATTCCAGTTTACAGCTTCAGCTTGTCCCTCCTAATGTTTAATGTGTGAGGTTTCTGATGTATTCTATACACTACCTGACTGACAGAATCTATGTAAAGTCAATAAATCTATCCACAAACCCTTTAACAGGCTGTGTTCTGTGATTCTGTCATAATTCATTTTTAGACAGTGGTTTCATCTCTGTGTCTGCCAGAGATTAGCAATAATTGCTAGTGATTCCCGTGTGAAGATACCATCCAAACCGTTGAAATTGAATACTCTGTTCAAGAGTACAGAAGAGATAACAGTTTGACACATTATCTTCAGTCTTTATTTTGCTTTCTTATTCTTTTTTTCCTTCTATTATTATTATTATTCTATATTATATATATCTCTCTCATTGTCTCTGTCTCTTTGTCTCTGTCTCTCTCTCTCTGTCTGTCTCTCTCTCTCTTAAAACTTATTAAAACTTGTAGACAATACAGACCTCTGACCTGTGTCTACAGCACTGACCTCTGCCCTGTCCTCTGTAACTTTGTATTATTGTTGAACTATTGTTGGTAGAGCTGTATGAATCTTGCACACACATGCACTGTGGCTTTATGTACAACGTTCCCAAATTTGGTTGCAATCCAATTCAGCATTGAAGAGAAATGGTGGGCCACTCCTTCAAATGTACGGTAACCAATTACAGACAAACAATAAATGATACCCAGACCCAGACCTATTAGTCATGTTCGGCTTCATATAAATAATGTGTGCACCAATGTGGGTGAAGATTAGATGAAATATGTGTCAGATGAAGCAAAACATCCAAAATGGCAGGGATGTTTTTAAGGTCTGAATGGGCATGGCCTATATCAGTAAAAGGAATGCACTGTGAAAAAATGCTTCTTCTATACCTAACGATGAATGAGTTAATGCTTAATAACCAACCACATGGTGGCACATCATTCTGCTGGTGTCGATGTAGCTGTCAAATATTTTGGTGACTTTTTTATCAAAAATATTGTGTTCAGTACTAATTATAGTCAGACATTTATAGTCAGTGTGGACTCATTGTGTGACTCATCTGAACGCTGTTAGAAAGATGTGATATCTAATATCCAACCAATGTCTGTGTGGAGTTAGGTAGCATTTGAATGACAACTTGTGGAGATAAAAATATGAATTTATTTGATATATTAAAATAAAGTGATGGACTTTTGAATAGACCACAGGTTGCAGTGAGGAAAACTTCACAATTCAGTGGAGGCAATGAAGACGTTTCAGCTCTGTAGGATGTACGGGTGATTTTATGGAATTTGAAATAACCGACCACATGATGGCGCTATTGAATACATGCTTTAATATATTGAGCACATCTCCATGGGGAACCTGTGTTTGATGACCTTAGCATGTTCAGTATTTGAGATTGAGTTTAGTTTATGTGACTGAATATTACAGTAAAATATGAATATCTCACTAGCAGGCTTCATATGAGAATGATGTGTTTATGGCTTGCTGCTGTCACACAGTTAGGATCCTAACCCATAATAATAACTGACTGGTCCCTTTAACTTGCTCTTTGTGTGATGGCGATGTAGCTCCGCCCCTCCCACCGGGCGGGGCTTGATACTGCAGCACAGCATCCACAACAGCATCCAGTGCCACAGTACTACAGTACAGTACCCGGTACTACAAACAGGTCTACTGAAGCATCCAGGAGCTGCTCTCATCCGGACTGATCCTCGGACGACCGACCGACCGACAGACAGACAGGTGAGTGTTTGTTTGACTGGTGGAAGCTGCTGCATGAACGGGTCTGGGTTGTTGTGATCAGCTGTTTTCAGTGATTTCAGGCTGATTCAGCAGAAACGACTCCCTGTTTATCAACCAATCAGATGTCCTCCTGCAGCACAATAAAGTCTTTATTTCATAAGGAATAATAATAATAATAATAATAACAGTAATACTTCTAGTATGTGTCCTTAAATAATTAAATTTAATTGAATTATTATTATCAAATCATTATTTAAATCTGCAGTAAACATGTTTATTTATTCAAACATTGAACAAACAATATGAGTGAAAGGGATTATTATTATTATTATCATTAGTAATAGTAATAATAGTAGTAGTATGTAGTAAGTAAAATAAATATTGATTTATGAGTTCTGTTTAAGCTCAATAGTGATCAACAGTTATCAATATATATTATGACATTACAATGTTTTTATGAACTGACAGTAAGACTCTGTGTGTGATACAGTGACACAGTCTTATCAATATAACACAGCAACCAATCCCAACTCTGGAAATGTATTGATCAGTTGAAAATTCTGATCAACTATTTTAACCTTTTTTAAACTCCAAAGATTCTCCGCTGTAGTTTCAGAATCATGATGGATTATTAAAGACAATATATATCAGATTATTAATGAGCCTGACAAACTATTCAGATCTTAAGACTGGATTTTGATTCAGGGTCCCGCAGATGGAGGACTGAGAGCCCACATGAAACTAGAACTGAACCAGTCAGAGCTCACATCCCAATCTGGTCCCGGTCTGGTTCCAGTCTGGTATTTTGGTGGAGTTCCAAAAAACACAGACAGCGTTCAGAGTACTGAGTCAGCAACCTGCTGTTGGGACCATCAGACTGCCATCAGGCCGCTAATAATCAATATCCTCAGTATCCATTGATCTACAGTCCATCAATGACTTCATCAACAAAACAGGAAGCCTCCAATAAACTCAGTATGCAGTTCTGTGTACAGATGTACCACTGTGTACATTCAGAATGAAATACTGCACTTTTTACTACTTTTATTTAAATGCTTTAAAGATTACACCAACAATAGCTGATCAATAATCTATAATCAGTTAACAGTGTATAAACTCCAGAGCTATGTTCTATAGTCAATTAAATTTTATTTGTATAGCACCAATTCATAACAGAAGTTATCTCAGGACGCTTTTCAAATAGAGCAGGTCTAGACCGAACTCTTTCTAACATTATTTACAGAGACCCAACAGTACCACCATGAGCAAGACCTTGGCGACGGGGGCAAGGAAAAACTGCCTTTAAACTGAGAACGATCTGATAAATATGACTTAAACCAGCTTAGTGTGGTTCCTTTAATGCCAATTTGATGCTCAAGTCTCTGTAAAAGAATATTATGGTCAGTGGTGTCAAATGCAGCACTAAGATCTAATAATACAAGTACAGAGACAAGTCCATTGTCTGAAGCAATCAGAAGGTCATTATTAACTTTAACCAGAGCTGTGTGCTATGATGAACTCTAAATCCTGACTGAAAATCCTTAAATAAACTTTTTTTTTTTTAAGAAGGGGTTTAATTACAGCTACTTTAAAGGACTGTGGTACATATCCTGATAATAAAGAAAGATTAATCATATCCAGTAAAGAAGTGCCAATTAAGGGAACAACTTCTTTAAGCAGCCTAGTTGGGATCGGGTCTAACAGACAGGTTGATGGCTTTGATGAATAAATTATTGAAGTTAACTGATGAAGATCGATAGCAGAAAAACAGTCTAAATATATATCTGAGTTTACATTAGTTAAAGTTCTTAAACTTGGAGAGCCAGTGATACCTGTTGAGGGCATTTGGTGACTAATTTTCTCTCTAACAGTAATAATTTTATTATAAAAGAAGCTCATGAAGTCATTGCTACTTAAGTTTATGGGGATATGTGGCTCAATAGAGCTGTGACTCTCTGTCAGCCTGGCTACAGTGCTGAAGAGGAACCTAGGGTTATTCTTATTTTCTTCTATTAGTGCTAAGTAATAGGCTCCTCTGGCATTACGGAGCGCCTTTGTATAGGTTTTAAGATTATCTTGCCAAATTGAGTGATATTATAATAATTTGGAAGAGCGCCATTTCCTTTCAGATTTCCTAGCCATCTGCTTTAACTGGCGGGTTTGGTGGTTGTACCACGGTGCTAGTCTCCTATGTTTTAATAATTTCCTTTTTATAGGAGCGATAGAGTCTAATGTTGATCGTAGTGAGCCTGCAGTACTATCAACAAGATTATCAATTTTGGAAGGACTAAAGTTATTATAGGACTCTGTTAAATTCAGACATGGCATTGAATTAAACACTGAAGGAATCTCCTCCTTAAATTTAGCTACAGCACTGTCAGATAGACATCTGCTTTAGGAAGTTTTGCCAAATGGCTTATAATCTAATAACAGAAATTCAAAAGTTATTAAATAATGGTCAGATAGGAAAGGATTATGTGGGAAGACTATTAAGTGTTCAATATCAATGCCATATGATAGAACAAGGTCAAGAGTGTGATTAAAACAATGAGTGGGTTTATTTGCACTCTGACAGAAGCCTATTGAGTCTATTAATGAGATAAATGCGTTACTAAGGCTGTCATTGTCAACATCCACATGGATTCATTTAGGCTCACTATATGTAGTTGATTCAATCAATTATCTATCATCATTAAACAGTGTATAAACTTTGATTGGTTGTTGTTGAGAGTAGCTGATCTGATTCTGGTCTGTTGTGGATCAGGATGTTTGGAGGGGTATCCGGGCGGATCCAGAAGGACCGGCAGAAGGCTGGAGGTCTGGGCTCGGTCCAGCAGGCCGTGCGCTACCAGAACCAGGACTTCCAGGCCCTCAAAGAGGACTGTCTGCAGAACGGGACTCTGTTCGAGGACCCGATGTTCCCCGCAGAACCGGCCTCACTGGGCTTCAAGGAACTGGGGCCGTTCACTGCCAAGACCAGAGGGGTGGAGTGGAAGAGACCCACGGTAAGGACGCTAGGTCGTGATAGCATGGCTAGGCTGAGGCTAAAGCTAACATGACCCACAGACCAACAGGAAGTAGAAACAGCTGATATGTCTGTGTATGTATGTTCAGTTCAATTCAGTTCAGTTTTATTTATATAGCGCCAATTAATAACAGAAATGATCTCAGGACACTTTTCAAATAGAGCAGGTCTAGACCGAACTCCTTATAGCAATCTTTACAGAGACCCAACAGTTCCCACCATGAGCAAGCGCTTGGTGACAGCGGCTCAATTAGCTTCTGTCAGGGTGTAAATAAACCAACTCATTGTTTTAATCACACTCTTGACCTTGTTTTATCATATGGCATTGATACTGAACATTTAATAATCTTCCCACATAATCCTTTCCTATCTGACCATTATTTAATAACTTTTGAATTCATACTATTAGATTATAAGCCATTAGGCAAAACTTCCTACAGCAGATGTTTATCTGACAGTGCTGTAGCTAAATTTAAGGAGGAGATTCCTTCAGTGTTTAATTCAATGCCATGTCTGAATTTAACAGAGTCCTATAACAACTTTAGTCCCTTTGAAATTGATAATCTTGTTGATAGTGCTACAGGCTCACTACGATCAACATTAGACTCTATCGCTCCTATAAAAAGGAAATTATTAAAACATAGGAGATTAGCACCGTGGTACAACCACCAAACCCGCCAGTTAACACAAATAGCTAGGAAATCTGAAAGGAAATGGCGCTCTTCCAAATTATCAGAATATCGCTCAATTTGGCAAAATAATCTTAAAACTTATAGAAAGGCCCTCCGTAATGCCAGAGGAGCCTATTACTCAGCACTAATAGAAGAAAATAAGAACAACCCTAGGTTCCTCTTCAGCACTGTAGCCAGGCTGACAGAGAGTCACAGCTCTATTGAGCCACATATCCCCATAAACTTAAGTAGCAATGACTTCATGAGCTTCTTCTATAATAAAATTATTACTATTAGAGAGAAAATTAATCACCAACTGCCATCAACAGTTATCAGTGGCTCTCCAAGTTCAGGGACTTTTGCTAATGTAAACTTAGATATATATTTAGACTGTTTTTCTGCTATCGATCTTCATCAGTTAACTTCAATCATTTCCTCATCAAAGCCATCAACCTGTCTATTAGATCCAATCCCAACTAGGCTGCGTAAAGAAGTTGTTCCCTGAATTGGCACTTCTTTACTGGATATGATTAATCTTTCTTTATTATCAGGATATGTACCACAGTCCTTTAAAGTAGCTTTAATTAAACCCCTTCTTAAAAAGCCCACTCTTGACCCAGGGGTTTTAGTCAACTATAGACCAATCTCTAACCTCCCCTTCCTCTCTAAGATTCTGGAGAGAGTAGTCGCCAAAGAGTTGTGTGACTTTCTACATAACAATAGTTTATTTAAGGATTTTCAGTCAGGATTTAGAGTTCATCATAGCACAGAGACAACTCTGGTTAAAGTTAATAATGACCTTCTGATTGCTTCTGACAATGGACTTGTCTCTGTACTTGTATTATTAGTTCAATTCATCATTTAGTGCCAATGCATAACAGAAGTTATTCAGACACTTTTCAAATAGCAGGTCTGACCATGATCTATTTAACATTAATTACAGAGACCCAACATACCACCATGAGCATCAAATTGGCGATTAAAGGAAACCTTGTGGTGGGTGGGGTTTTTTTTGTAGGGGGGGGGGGGAGAGAGAGAGAGAGAGAGAGAGAGCGCAGACAGACAACTGGTTTACAGTAACAACATATTGGAATGGCAGTCAAGAGGACCATGGCAGGAGGCTACTCCTCGCAGAAAAAACCAAAAAACCCCGGGAAGAAGTGGAGTTTGTAACATGCATTAAACGAATGAATGCTTCAATAAATACTACAGTCTAGTCATGGAGTTCCACAAGGTTCTGTACTTGGAACCAATGCTATTTACTTTATATATGCTCCCTTTAGGCAACATTATTAGGAATCAACTCCATTAACTTTAGGAGCAATGCAGATGATACAGGAGAGATGTTATCTCTATTAGATCCTAGTGCATTCAAACATGAATTAATACAATTATCAGAAAGCGAACTTTATACTCCTTTAGGCAACATTATTAGGAATCACTCCATTAACTTTCACTGCAGATGATACGCAGTTATATCTATCGATCAAGCCCGATGAAATTAATCAATTATCTAAATTACAAACATGTCTTAAGGACATAAAATCCTGGATGTGCTGCAATTTTCTGATGTTAAACTCAGAAAAAAACGAAATTCTTGTTCTTGGCCCCAAAAACCTTAGAGACTCACTGTCTAAAGATATAGTTACTCTAGATGGCATTACCTTGGCCTCTAGCACCACTGTCAGGAATCTTGGAGTTATCTTTGATCTGGATTTGTCTTTTAACTCCCACATGAAGAAGACCTCTAGGACTGCCTTCTTTTGTTTACGTAATATTACAAAAATTAGACACATACTATCACAGACAGATGCAGAAAAACTAATCCATGCATTTGTTACTTCAAGGCTGGATTACTGCAACTCTTTATTATCAGGTTGCCCCAATAAGTCCATTAAAACGCTCCAATTAATTCAGAACGCTGCAGCACGAGTACTGACAGCAACTAGAAAAAGAGATCACATCTCTCCTGTACTAGCTTCACTGCATTGGCTCCCTGCAAAATGTAGAATAGAATTTAAAATCCTCCTCCTCACCTATAAAGCTCTTCATGGTCAGGCCCCTTCATATCTTAAAGAGCTCATAGTACCCTATTACCCCACTAGAACACTGTGTTCTCTGAATGCTGGGCTACTTGTGGTTCCTATAGTCTCTAAAAGTAGAACTGGAGCCAGAGCCTTCAGTTACCAAGCTCCTCTCCTGTGGAACCAGCTTCCAGTTGTGGTTCGGGAGGCAGACACCCTCACCACATTCAAGAGTAAGCTTAAGACATTCCTCTTTGATAAAGCTTATAGTTAGGGCTGGATCAGGTGAGTCCTGAACCATCCCTTAGTTATGCTGCTATAGGCCTAGACTATCGGGGGATTTCCCATGGTGCACTGAGCTCCTCTCTTCCTCTCTCTTTCTGCACTCATTCATGTTCCATTAATGCATGTTACTAACTTCACTTCTTCCCCGGAGTTCTTGTGCTTTCTCGTCTCGCAGGTTCTTATCGATCCTGGTGGAGCCTCCTGCCATGGTCCTGCTAGATTGCCATTGCCAATACTGTTGTTGCTGTGCACCTGTCTGTCTGTCTGTCTGTCTGTCTCTCTCTCTCTCTCTCTCTCTCTCTCTCTCTCTCTCTCTCACCCCAACTGGTCGAGGCAGACGACCACCCACCTAGAGCCGAAGGATCTGTCCTAGGTTTCTGCCTTTCAACAGGCATTTTTTCCCTGCCCTTGTCGCTAAGTGCTTGCTCATGGTGGTACTGTTGGGTCTCTGTAAATAATGTTTTAAAGAGTTCGGTCTAGACCTACTCTATTTGAAAAGTGTCCTGAGATAACTTCTGTTATGAATTGGCGCTATACAAATAAAATTGAATTGAATTAAATCAAGCAATTACACAATTTTAAATCATTTGCAGATTATTTGTGTTAAGGGGTTATTTACTGCAGCGCGCAGTCCTCTACTGCGTATGGAGGAAGTAGAACACACTCGAATTATCTTTAGCCTCTTGGCATATTTATTTAAGTTAACAATGAAGTGCGGACCGATGTGCCGCCGTCTCATCGGCATGGCTCACACACAACTAGCGCTCACTGGGAGCGTGGTGACGTCATGTTTTGTACGTACCGTAACCCTTTCACAATACAGCAGTACAGTATATCAGTCTACCGTAATACAGGGACTCCACCACCTGTGGCCTGAAGGCTCTGGTGATGGGCAGATCTGTCTTCATATCTGACCACTTCTTTTTCAACTCCGCTGTGGTGCGGTTCTCCGACCCTACCGAGTTTACTGCCTGTGCCTTGCAAAATATTTTTTTATTTTTGGGCTCTACCTCCGTCAGCAGCACCTCCAATTCACACTCCGTAAAATTAAATTTTTTCCTGGCTTTTGCCATTTTCCTAAAGACAGCACTATCTAGGCCTATTTATACTAATTAGCATATTCAGATCGGTGTATTTGAGGGAGGGGACAGGGTGGAGCATTGTGCTCGTGCATGTGCGCTCAATTTCACGTTGATTGTGATGTACAAAGACAATGTGCGTGGGATTCTGCGTACGCACGTTTTGATACATCTGAATATTTTTGTGCATACGGAACTTTCACTCTTTCAGTGTACGCCACATTCTTGTAGGAAATCCACGCAAGTCTTAGTACATGAGGCTCCTGCAGGTTTGCTTTATGTGGGAATTGAAGGACATGTCCTGATCAAAGATAACAGAAAATTGCAGCTCATCCAGTTTTTTATGTCCTTAAGACATGTCTTTAATTTAGATAACTGATTAATTTCATCGGGCTTGATTGATAGATATAACTGCGTATCATCTGCTTAGCAATGAAAGTTAATGGAGCGATTCCTGATAATGTTGCCTAAGGGAGCATATATAAAGTAAATAGTATTGGTCCAAGTACAGAACCTTGTGGAACTCCATGACTAACTGGAGTATTTATGGAAGATTCATCATTAACGTGTACAAACTGATCTGATAAATATGACTTAAACCAGCTTAGTGCGGTTCCTTTAATACCAATTTGATGCTCAAGTCTCTGTAAAAGAATATTATGGTCAATGGTGTCAAATGCAGCACTAAGATCTAATAATACAAGTACAGAGACAAGTCCATTGTCAGAAGCAATCAGAAGGTCATTATTAACTTTAACCAGAGCTGTCTCTGTGCTGTGTCTGAGAGCTCTGCTGTAAAGTGATGTAAGACATACGGCTGTTTCTGATTGGCTGTTTCAGGAGCTGACACAGAACCCTCAGTTCATTGTGGGCGGAGCCACCAGGACGGACATCTGTCAGGGAGCGCTGGGTAAGTCACTCTGTGTCTCTATCTCTCTATCTATCTATCTATCTATCTATCTATCTATCTATCTATCTATCTATCTATCTATCTATCTATCTATCTTTTTTTGCTAATGTAAACTTAATCAGTCAACTTCAATCATTTCTACATCAAAGCCATCAACCTGTCTATTAGACCCGATCCCAACTAGGCTGCTTAAAGAAGTTGTTCCCTTAATTGGCACTTCTTTATCCTTTTCCAGGATTTCCCATGGTGCACTGAGCTCCTCTCTTCCTCTCTCTTTCTGCACTCATTTATGTTCCATTAATGCATGTTACTAACTTCACTTCTTCCCCGGAGTTCTTGTGCTTTCTCGTCTCGCAGGTTCTTATCGATCCTGGTGGAGCCTCCTGCCATGGTCCTGCTAGATTGCCATTACCAATACTGTTGTTGCTGTGCACCTATCCGTCTGTCTGTCTGTCTGTCTCTCTCTCTCTCACCCCAACTGGTCGAGACAGACGACCACCCACCTAGAGCCGAAGGATCTGTCCTAGGTTTCTGCCTTTTAACAGGCAGTTTTTCCTTGCCCTTGTCTCCAAGGTCTTGCTCATGGTGGTACTGTTGGGTCTCTGTAAATAATGTTTTAAAGAGTTCGGTCTAGACCTGCTCTATTTGAAAAGTGTTTACAAATAAAATTGAATTGAATTGAATATCAATAGGTAGATAGATTGATAGATTGATAGGTATATTTTTCAGCCTTGTGCTGTGGCTGTTTAAAGGCCTCTGTGCTTTATTGATTAGATTTGATTGATAGGTAGATTTAAAGGTGCTATGGGTGTTTTCAGGCCTGTGCTGTGTCTGCAGGCAGCAGCAGCCTGTTAACAGCCTGAGAGGGACACACAACTTCCTGCTTCAGGAAACATTAAAGTCTCTTTGTTGTTTGTGAAGGAAGTCCTTCTGTTTGATTACGGCCTCCTGCTGACTCTGGATCAGAGACTGGTTTCAGACCAGATCATCAATAGATACATACCAGAGGATTTATTGATTGTTGGTTACAGCCAATATAGAAATCAATGATTCATACACAGACACATACCGTCTGTGCTCCCAGCATGCACTGCAGGGTAGAGTCCGCATGCTGGACGCTACTGATATCACAGCTCACAGTACTCTGTGACATCATATGTTGAGAATTATTGTTATTGGTGGAATAACATAAATTAAAGATCTCATGATGATAAAAACACAGAAACAGACTGATTTGTGAATTTGAAAATGAGAAATAATTAAAGATAGAGACTTTTGACGGTTGTTTTGGGGAAAAAAAGACGAACACACAAAGCTGGAAGAAACTAAAATAAATCAGCTTTAAGTTTTAGATAGTCTAGATGTAGATTTTACGAGGAGCACCTGAAGGCAGCACTTAGCCCATCACTTCTGACCTCGTATTGATCAGATGATTGATCCCTGAATGGAAGGAAACTGCATTAGCTGGAAACATTAGCAACTTAATGTAAAAGCAGCTAATGTTGTTGTTGATGTTAGCTTTTAGCCTAGCATTAGTGTGTCCCCACAGACCATCAGAGTGTCTGTTCGGGATAATGGAGTCTGCACATTAACAAACAGGAAGTCTGATCCTCCAACCAGAGACCTGATCATCAGCACAAGTACTTGACGGTGCTTTTATCTGGAAATAATGACCCTGTGTCAGGATAACGAACGTAATCATCGTTTTAATGGACAGTGTGTGGAAACATGCAGAACAGTTGCTGTAGCACACAGTCAGTGCTCAGAGCGGCTCTGTAGGAGCTTTGTCGTGTTTCAGTGTAGAAAGAAGCAAGGTAACAATGATACTCAGCACTTCCTGTAGTTTTCCTATCGTGTGCTCACAGCACCACCTTGTGGTATAATGTAGGACAGAACAATTACTACTTAACACAACATCCCCTCTTTTCTTAGTCTTAACAACAATGTGCTATGCTTTCTTATAACTCATCACTCCCTGTTTGTCCTCTTTATGTTCTCTAGGGATGCACGATAACTTTTTTTTAAAACCGATAACCGATAACTTTCAGCTCCTAAGGGCCGATACCGATACCAATAACCGATAACACACACACACATATACATATATATATGATCATGACCTAAGATCATGACATTAATACTATGAACAAACCCAAAAACACTTTTGACTCTTTAAATGGAGATATTGGCGAGCCTCTCAAAAAAAATAAAGGACCCTTGAACTGATGCAAATACATGCATTGGGATTACAAACTGAAAAAGTGCATTCCAGAAGTTCAAAGAAAAAAAAAAATATATATATATATATATATATATGGTGATCGATCGCATCATACTTGGCTGGAAGGCACACATCAGAAAAGTAGTGGCGGCTCGGCAATGTAAATCGTGGCTCCAAGTGATTAATCTGGCGAGAAAAGTGCCGGGCTGGTCGTCAAGTGCCATCATTTCCATCCTCATATGCTTTCAAAACTCCGTCGAAGCGATGGCTATGTTTCAGGTGACTTATCAGGTTTGACGTATTGAAGCTCGTGCTACTTTTACCTCCTCGTGGAACTTGCTTGGAACATTTGTTACAAATAAAAAGCGACCTGTCTTCTTCAGAAACTTTGAAAAAGTCCCACACAATCGACGCCATGTTGTCTGTTATCAAACGTAAGCACGCTGTGCTGCATTCATGGTGTGACGGAAATTCCCTGTTCCCACGTTTGATAGTCGTTCTTTCTGCCTTTTTAAGTTCATGTTTCTATTGTTTATGTGTAACATGTAGAAAAATACTGTGGATATCAATTCAAGTCAGCAACTACCAAAATTATGACTGAGTTTACGAGTTCTTTTCCGAGGGGGTATTCTTGAATTTTCCAAGTCAGAAAGAATTTTTCTGATTATGCCATTGCACTTGAACGCAGCATTCACTGCAGGCCATACAGGTCTCATAGTGGGAGTGGGGCAATGCCGTGCTGACAAAATTATATATGTTATCAGGGCTATTCGTCATGATATCGGACTTATCGAATAATCATTTCCTGTTATTGGCCCGATAACTATCGGCCCGATAATTATCGTGCACCCCTAATGTTCTCTGTAAGAACTCTGTATGTCCTCTTTATGTTCTCTGTAAGGACTCTGTAAGAACTCTGTATGTTCTCTCGTTGTTCTTCAGGAGACTGCTGGCTGCTAGCTGCTATCGGCTCTCTGACTCTGAATGAACGGCTACTGCATCGTGTGGTTCCTCAGGGTCAGAGCTTCAGCCACCAATACGCCGGAATCTTCCACTTCCAGGTGAGACCACGCCCACTCACCTGTTCATGATGTGTTCAAGGAACTTGTGTGACACGGAACAATCATATAACTACAGTCCAACTAGCTCACTGTCTGTGTATCTGTAGTTCTGGCAGTTCGGGGAGTGGGTGAACGTGGTGATCGACGACCGCCTGCCAGTTAAAGAAGGAGAGCTGCTGTTCGTCCACTCGGCTGAAGGAAGCGAGTTCTGGAGCGCCCTGCTGGAGAAAGCCTACGCCAAGTAAGATCATCCACCCGCTGACATTCAGACTCTAAAGTAGATCAGATCAGTGTGTTTACACAGAAATCCACAGGGTTAGTAGCTCTGATATTCACCTCTTTGACCCTTCTTAAGCCACTTCCCCTTTTGCTCTGTGCTCCAATCACAATTGAGCAAACCTCGGTCACCTTCCTCTTTTCCTGTACTTTGATATGCTATGCTAGGCTTATCTATGTTGAAAAGACAACCACATTTTGAAGATGGTTAAAAAATAAAAAAGACATATGTATAGTAGTATATAGCAGTCTGCCAGAGCGGAGTGTAGCTCCACAATAACGTTAGCAGACTCCTGGGGTGCCAAACTGTCCTCCATCAGCATCACATGCTGTATTCGGTCCTGGTTCGGCTGTGCTCATCAGCACAGAAAGTGAGGATGCTGCAGCGCCCCCTACCTTTCCTATAGGTTATTGTTTAACTGCTGGCAATTAGAAATATTAATTATTTTTGCTGTATCTCTCACTGGTGTTGAACCGGGTTGTTGTAGTTTGTTGCTCTCTCTCTCTCCTCCTGTTTTTCTGTATCAGCTCTTCAGAATATTAATATGAATGTTGCACAAGAGTTACATTTATTGAACTGATGCATGCTTGATAGATAATTCAGTTTCAGACTGTGCTACCTGTTTATTTAGTGTGTGTTTACTGTTTATTTACCGTGTGTATACTGATTATTTAGCGTGTGTTTACTGTTTAATTACCTTGTGTTTACTGATTATTTACCGTGTGTTTACTGTTTAATTACGTGTGTTTACTGATTATTTACTGTGTGTTTACTGATTATTTAGCGTGTGTTTACTGATTATTTAGCGTGTGTTTACTATGTATTTAGCGTGATTTACTGATTATTTAGCGTGTGTTTACTGATTGTTTACCGTGTTTACTGATTATTTAGCGTGTGTTTACTGTTTAATTACCGTGTGTTTACTGATTATTTAGCGTGTGTTTACTGTTTATTTAGCGTGTGTTTACTGATTGTTTACCTTGTGTTTACTGATTATTTAGCGTGTGTTTACTGTTTATTTACCGTGTGTTTACTGATTACTTACTGTGCGTTTACTGATTATTTAGCGTGTGTTTACTGATTATTTACTGTGTTTACTGATTGTTCACTGATTATTTAGCGTGCGTTTACTGATTATTTAGCGTGTGTTTACTGATTATTTATTGTGTGTTTACTGATTATTTACTGATTATTTAGCGTGTTTTCTGATTATTTACTGTGTGTTTACTGATTGTTTACTGATTATTTAGCGTGTGTTTACTGATTATTTACTGTGTGTTTACTGATTGTTTACTGATTATTTAACGTGTGTTTACTGATTATTTATCGTGTTTACTGATTGTTTACTGATTATTTAGCATGTGTTTACTGATTATTTAACGTGTGTTTACTGATTATTTACCGTGTTTACTGATTATTTACTGTGTTTACTGATTGTTTACTGATTATTTACTGTGTTTACTGATTGTTTACTGATTATTTAACATGTGTTTACTGATTATTTAGCGTGTGTTTACTGATTATTTACTGTGTGTTTACTGATTGTTTACTGATTATTTAACGTGTGTTTACTGATTATTTATCGTGTTTACTGATTGTTTACTGATTATTTAGCATGTGTTTACTGATTATTTACCGTGTTTACTGATTATTTACTGTGTTTACTGATTGTTTACTGATTATTTACTGTGTTTACTGATTGTTTACTGATTATTTAACATGTGTTTACTGATTATTTAACGTGTGTTTACTGATTATTTACCGTGTTTACTGATTAATTTACTGTGTTTACTGATTGTTTACTGATTATTTAGTGCGTGTTTTCTGATTATTTAGCGTGTGTTTACTGATTATTTACTGTGTGTTTACTGATTGTTTACTGATTATTTAACGTGTGTTTACTGATTATTTATCGTGTTTACTGATTGTTTACTGATTATTTAGCATGTGTTTACTGTGTGTTTACTGATTGTTTACTGATTATTTAACGTGTGTTTACTGATTATTTATCGTGTTTACTGATTGTTTACTGATTATTTAGCATGTACGATTATTTAGCATGTGTTTACTGATTATTTACTGTGTTTACTGATTGTTTACTGATTATTTAGCGCGTGTTTTCTGATTATTTAGCGTGTGTTTACTGATTATTTACTGTGTGTTTACTGATTGTTTACTGATTATTTAGTGTGTGTTTACTGATTATTTATTGTGTGTTTACTGATTGTTTCCTAATTATTTAGCATGTGTTTACTGATTATTTACTGATTATTTAGCTTGTTTTCGGATTATTTACTGTGTGTTTACTGATTGTTTACTGATTATTTAGCATGTGTTTACTGATTATTTACTGATTATTTAGCGTGTTTTCGGATTATTTACTACTGATTATTTAGCTTGTTTTCGGATTATTTACTGTGTGTTTACTGATTGTTTACTGATTATTTAACGTGTGTTTACTGATTATTTATCGTGTTTACTGATTGTTTACTGATTATTTAGCATGTGTTTACTGTGTGTTTACTGATTGTTTACTGATTATTTAACGTGTGTTTACTGATTATTTATCGTGTTTACTGATTGTTTACTGATTATTTAGCATGTGTTTACTGATTATTTAACGTGTGTTTACTGATTATTTACCGTGTTTACTGATTATTTACTGTGTTTACTGATTGTTTACTGATTATTTAGCGCGTGTTTTCTTATTATTTAGCGTGTGTTTACTGATTATTTACTGTGTGTTTACTGATTGTTTACTGATTATTTAGTGTGTGTTTACTGATTATTTATTGTGTGTTTACTGATTGTTTCCTAATTATTTAGCATGTGTTTACTGATTATTTACTGATTATTTAGCTTGTTTTCGGATTATTTACTGTGTGTTTACTGATTGTTTACTGATTATTTAGCATGTGTTTACTGATTATTTACTGATTATTTAGCGTGTTTTCGGATTATTTACTACTGATTATTTAGCGTGTTTACTGATTATTTACTGTGTGTTTACTGATTGTTTACTGATTATTTAACGTGTGTTTACTGATTATTTACCGTGTTTACTGATTGTTTACTGATTATTTAGCATGTGTTTACTGATTATTTAGCGTGTTTACTGATTATTTACTGTGTTTACTGATTGTTTACTGATTATTTAACGTGTGTTTACTGATTATTTACCGTGTTTACTGATTGTTTACTGATTATTTAGCATGTGTTTACTGATTATTTACCATGTTTACTGATTGTTTACTGATTATTTAGCATGTGTTTACTGATTATTTACCATGTTTACTGATTATTTACTGTGTTTACTGATTGTTTACTAATTATTTAGCGTGTGTTTTCTGATTATTTAGCGTGTGTTTTCTGATTATTTAGCGTGTGTTTACTGATTATTTACTGTGTGTTTTGAGGTTGAACGGCTCGTACGAGGCGTTATCCGGTGGCAGCACCACTGAAGGTTTCGAGGACTTTACGGGTGGCGTGGCGGAGATGTATGAGCTGAATGAGCTGAAGAAAGCAAAAGAAAGAGATCTTTATCGTATCATCAGCAAAGCTCTGGAGAGAGGCTCTCTGCTGGGCTGCTCCATAGATGTCAGTCTCACTCTCAGACCATCCTCACTAACAGTATTCTCCAACAGAACCAGTAACAGGTCTGTGATGTGTTCACTGTCTCCGTCCTCAGATCACCAGTGCCTTCGACATGGAGGCGGTCACCTTCAAGAAGCTGGTTAAAGGCCACGCCTACTCTGTCACCGGACTCAAACAGGTGAGCTCACATCAGACTGCATCGGTCCGGCCTTTGAGTTGGGTTTCTAATGTCTGTGGTCCTCTCTGCAGGTGGAGCGCCGTGGCCGGACAGAGCGTCTGATCCGTATCAGGAACCCCTGGGGTCAGGTGGAGTGGACCGGACGCTGGAGCGACAAGTCAGTGCTTTACTTTATACTTTTTACTTTATAAGAATGGACACTGAAAATGTGAACAATGTGAACAACGTGAACAACGCGAACAACGTGAACACCGTGAACATAGTGAACAACCAGAACAATGTGAACAACCAGAACAACCAGAACAACTTGAATAACGTGAACAACACCGTGAATAACGCAAATAACTAGATAACGTGAAAGACGTAAATAACGTAAATAACGTAAATAACGTGAATAACGTAAATGACGTAAATAGCGTGAACACAGTGAACGTGAACTAAGTGAACAACGTAAATAATGTAAATAATGTGAACAACGTGAACAACGTGAATAACGTGAATAACGTGAACAACGTGAATAACGTGAATAATGTGAACAAAGTGAACAACGTGAATAACGTGAATAATGTGAACAAAGTGAATAAAGTGAACAACGTGAATAATGTAAATAATGTGAATAAAGTGAACAACGTGAACATAGTGAATAATGTGAATGTGTGTGTTCTGGTTGTGTCAGTTGCTCAGAGTGGAGCTCCATCGACGCTGCAGAGAAAGACGAGATGCTCTGTAAGATGGAGGATGGAGAGTTCTGGTAGGTTTCTGCTGGAAAGTTCATCAGGGTTTATTTAAAGGAAAAAGACAATAAAAAACAACAGTCTGTGTGTCTGTCTCTCAGGATGTCCTTCTCTGAGTTTTTACATCAGTTCTCCAGACTGGAGATCTGTAATCTGACCCCGGACGCCCTCAGTGAGGACTCCACCAGTTTCTGGAACACGACGATGTTTGAGGGTGGCTGGAGGAGAGGAAGCACTGCTGGAGGCTGCAGGAACCATCCCAGTGAGTGATAATCAATATATGAATAAAGATAATTAATATAACAATAAAGATGATCAATCTGGGTTCTCTCTACAATGACTACATATCCCATGATGCTCTGCTGCCTCCCTGCAGACACGTTCTGGATCAATCCTCAGTATAAGATCTGTCTGCTGGAGGAGGACGACGACCCCGATGACGACGAGGCCGCCTGCAGCTTCCTGGTGGCTCTAATGCAGAAAGACCGCCGCCGCTACCGCCGCCATGGCCAAGACGTACACACCATCGGCTTCGCCATCTATGAGGTCAGAGGTCAAATGTAAACACAGCGCTCCTTTAATGGGGGTCAATAACAGTGTGATAATACTGTCTCTGCTACACAGTAATAGTACAACCACCCAGAGTCTCCATAGCAACTATCTAATACTGATTACCATGCAACCGCATAACATCCACCCGGAACACGTTAGCAAGAGCTTTACTACCGCAATTACCTTAGCAACCACTTATTAACACCCTAGCAACCACTCATTAACACCCTAGCAACCACTCATTAACACCCTTGGTCCTGTCGTTATCTAGCTGGCTTGAAAAGTGCTTTTTTCATTATATATACTGCTATCATATACTGTCATTATATATACTGCCATTATATACTGTCATTATATATACAGTCATTATATATACTGCTATCATATACTGTCATTATATATACTGCCATTATATACTGTCATTATATATACAGTCATTATATATACTGTCATTATATACTGTCATTATATATACAGTCATTATATATACTGTTATTATATACTGTCATTATATACAGTCATTATATATGCAGTCATTATATACTGTCATTATATATACAGTCATTATATACTGTCATTATATATACAGTCATTATATACTGTCATTATATACTGTCATTATATACTGTCATTATATATACAGTCATTATATACTGTCATTATATACTGTCATTATATACAGTCATTATATATGCAGTCATTATATACTGTCATTATATATACAGTCATTATATACTGTCATTATATATACAGTCATTATATATACTGTCATTATATACTGTCATTATATATACTGTCATTATATACTGTCATTATATATACTGTCATTATATACTGTCATTATATATACAGTCATTATATATACTGTCATTATATACTGTCATTATATATACAGTCATTATATATACTGTCATTATATATACAGTCATTATATACAGTCATTATATATACTGTCATTATATACTGTCATTTTATATACAGTCATTATATATACTGTCATTATATACTGTCATTATATATACAGTCATTATATATACTGTCATTATATACTGTCATTATATATACTGTCATTATATACAGTCATTATATATACAGTCATTATATACTGTCATTATATATACAGTCATTATATATACTGTCATTATATACTGTCATTATATATACAGTCATTATATACTGTCATTATATATACAGTCATTATATATACTGTCATTATATACTGTCATTATATATACTGTCATTATATACTGTCATTATATATACAGTCATTATATATACTGTCATTATATATACTGTCATTATATATACAGTCATTATATACAGTCATTATATATACAGTCATTATATACAGTCATTATATATACTGTCATTATATATACAGTCATTATATACAGTCATTATATATACAGTCATTATATATACAGTCATTATATACAGTCATTATATATACAGTCATTATATACAGTCATTATATATACTGTCATTATATACAGTCATTATATATACAGTCATTATATACAGTCATTATATATACAGTCATTATATATACAGTCATTATATACAGTCATTATATATACAGTCATTATATACAGTCATTATATATACTGTCATTATATACTGTCATTATATATACAGTCATTATATATCCTGTCATTATATAGAGTCATTATATATACAGTCATTATATACAGTCATTATATATACTGTCATTATATACAGTCATTATATATACAGTCATTATATATACTGTCATTATATACAGTCATTATATATACAGTCATTATATATACTGTCATTATATACAGTCATTATATATACTGTCATTATATATACTGTCATTATATACAGTCATTATATATACAGTCATTATATACAGTCATTATATATACTGTCATTATATATACAGTCATTATATACAGTCATTATATATACAGTCATTATATATACTGTCATTATATACAGTCATTATATATACTGTCATTATTGTGCCTTGAAAAGCACAATACTACTCTTCCCCATACTTATAATATTTTATTCTTCTGTACGTTTTTTGGCGCGCTTCTCCTCCCGCAGTTTTGGTCGCACGTACACAAAAAAGGTATCAAAACGTGCGGCTCAGTGAGGGCATTAGTGCTATGACTTTTCTAAGCGTTTCGCCAAACAGTTTGCCGATAAATCGCCAAAAACCGGTCCAAAAAATGCATGGGTGTGTATTGCTAGAATCTTCAACTGCCAGAGTGCGTGACATCATCGCTGGAGTGTGAGGAGAGCGAAACATTTGACAAAAAATAAATTTGTAAACTGCTCTCAAGGCCTCAAATGTCACTCTACAGAAATAATTTATAGATAGAAACGTAGGTAAATCCGTTGGTGTCGCAGTGATACCACTGCTGAAGCTGTCAGACAAATAGTTTTGGCGGGAGACGCACTGATGCGCCCTCTCACGGCCCCATCTACTCCCATGTTAAAATGTAGAGGAGAAATGTTTAAAGGAGCTTGTTGAACCTCTTCTTTCTCAATCTCCTGAGGTCACATTTTTTAACTTTAGCCACTGAAACTCGGCAGTGCTATAGTCAACAAGATGACGATGCTCACGGTCTTTTCGGTTTTCATTTCGGTCGTTCCTGGCCATGGGTTCGAGGGGATTCATTTTAAATGTTTCTGTCTCTCTCAAGAGTCTCAAGTGCTGTGGTCTCCCCTGGTTGCCACGACAACAAGGGCCTGCCTGTGAACACACACACATAGCTAGCTACAGAGGAGTGCTAGCTAAAGATAATTAGAAGGTGGCTAACAAGCAAACAATTTAAAGCTGAATGATTTTAATATTAACACAAAATAAGTGCAATGCACTTTAAATATGTTACCCTGCTATGAGCTGTTCCTTAATTTACATTAGCACTCCTTCAGGAGCATAATACAATTAAACACATTAACCAAAGCTAGCGTTTAGCGCGTAGTTAAGCGCTAGCTTTGGTTAATGTGTTTATGTGTGCTAGCTCTAGCTAGCTAGCAAAGATAATTAGAAGGTAGAAGACGGTATTAGAAGGCTAGCTAGCACATAACTGTAGAAACACAAGAAAAAAAACTCATCATATCTCAACAGTCTTCTTGTTAATTCGGCATCAATATAATACATAAATACCAACTTTTTGACCGACTTCGTCGCATCAACTCGTTACCAGCCTCACTATATCAGTGGGAGGAGACCGTGGGAATAGATGGAAAAAACAAGATTTGTCATTAAAATATGTGGTTGTTAATGGATCACACGTACGCCAAATTAAACACAGGTGTCTCCCCTCATTGTACTGTAAACTACTCGGCAGTGTCAGTAATGTATGGGCCAGAGCAAGGCACAATCAAAATTTCTTTAGGAATTTTCTAGTTATATATACTGTCATTATATACTGTCATTATATATACTGTTATTATATACACTGTCATTATATATACTGTTATTATATACTGTCATTATATATACTGTCATTATATACTGTCATTATATATACTGTCATTATATATACTGTTATTATATACACTGTCATTATATATACTGTCATTATATATACTGTCATTATATACTGTCATTATATACTGTCATTATATATACTGTTATTATATACTGTCATTATATACTGTCATTATATATACTGTCATTATATATACAGTCATTATATACACTGTCAATGGTTGTAACACAGAGCTCGTCCTTTGAAATTAACATGGTTTTATAAATGTGACTTTTCTTCTTTGTGTTTTTTCTCATTCACAGATTCCTGAGGAGGTGAGTCAGTCATCAGTCTGGTTTGGAACCAATTAAACTAGTATATCAGATCAGTACATTTAATTTAAAGCTCCTATATGTAACTGTAAGTGAACTGCAGTCAGCGTCCTGTTGCATCATCCTGGGTGTTGGCCAACAGTGACAAACACTGAACGCTGTAAAACAACCGACAATCATATGTAGAATAACGTTACTATCTGCAATGTTCCTATATCTTATTTGGACCCTTAGCTCCATGCTTCTAGCTAGCTTGCTGTTTACAAATCACCCATCAGCCAACACCACGAAGCAACCAACGGCAGACCCACACCACGCAGCCCAGACACAGCCAGCCGGACAACCCCAGTTAGCTTAGCTACAGTTAGCTGCTGGATGCCCCTGCCTCACATCGCTCTTGGCTAGTAGATAGTAGCTATCGTTAGCTTTGTACCGCTACATCATTTATTGTTGGCTAACATCAGCACCGTTTGTCAGAATACATCAGTTAGTATCATGTTTCACTTTAGCTGGGGAAGCTTACGTTAGCTGGGGAAGCTAACAACATGTTCCACAGGCTTAGCAGTAATGTTAGCTTTGACTTTGGACTTTGTTTTGGACTCTGTGTTTTGTTGTGGGTGTCGGTCGTTTGTAGCCGTTAGCAGACTCCATTAATAACACACAGACTAAACGCTGTCATTATATATATACACTATACACACACTGACTCACTCACACTGACTCACACACACTGATTCACACTGACTCACACACACACTGACTCACACACACACACACACACTCACACACACACACACACACACACACACTCACTGACTCCCTCACACTGACTCACACTGACTACCACACACACACTGACACACACACACACACACACTCACACACACACACACACACACACACACACTCACTGACTCCCTCACACTGACTCACACTGACTACCACACACACACACACTGACTCACACACACACACACACACTGACTCACACACACACACACACACACACTGACTCACACTGGCACACACACACACACACACACACTGACTCACACTGACTCACACACACTGACTCACACTGACTCACACACACACACACACACACACACACTGATCTGTCTGTCCGGCAGTACCGAGGCTGTCCCAGTGTCCACATGAAGAAGGACTTCTTCCTACGTCACTCCTCCTGCGCTCGCTCAGAGACCTTCATCAACCTGCGAGAGGTGAGCAACAGGCTCCGCCTCCCGCCGGGAGAGTACCTTATCGTCCCGTCGACCTTCGAACCCTCCAAGGAGGCTGACTTCGTTCTGAGGGTGTTTACTGAGAAACAGTCGGAGACGGCGTGAGTGTGTCAGATGACATATGTTTGTATATGTTTGTATATGTTTGTATATGAATGATATTGATCTGTGAGAGACTCTGCAGGGAGATGGACGATGACGTGGTGGCCAACTTTGATGAAGAGGTAAAAAGATGTTTATTATGTAATATTTACTCATTGGGAGAAGTTTGACTGATATGATCACAAACTGACATATTGGTCATCATCATTACTTTAAAAACATCTTCGTATGGCAGCTTAATGCTACCTAACTGCTGACCTTTGACCTCAGGTGCTTCCTGTTCTTCTCTGCAGGAGCAAATCTCAGAGAGCGACATAGACGATTCCTTCAGGTCCATGTTCGCTCAGTTGTCTGGAGACGTGAGTTCCCCACTGCTCAATCAATAAGAGTATATAGACTGATATATTGATCAATTACAGTAGCTGCAGGTTTGGAGATGTTCTGACCCAGTCGTCCATCACAATGTGGTTCTTGTCAAAGTGGCTCAGATCCTCAATGGATAATACCAATAATCAATAATCAGTGTGTTAGTGCTGATCAATATGTGTGTATATATATGTATAGAAGTGTTGTGTCTCTTTAGGACATGGAGATCTCAGTACGAGAGCTCAGGACCATCCTCAACAGAATCGTCTCCAAACGTAAGTGGAACGAGACTAAGAGTAAACTCTGAATGAAACTGAACAGAACCGGGTTCCTCAGTAAAGTCCACATTTCCTGTAGAAATACACAGATCTGTTCTGGTTCTGTTCCAGCACCAACACAAGGCTGAGGGATAGAATGTGATTATTGATGAACTGCTGTCGGTTCCCTGCAGTACATCAGACTCATTGATCACAGGGACTGACCCTCACTGACTTCTGTTGTCATGTTGTCATCCACTGACGTGAACACATTAAATTAAAATGATGCAGGTTGTTTTTGGGACAAAACATGAATCATGTTTATTCACACACAGTTCATTATTGATCGTATATTGAGTTTGATATAATTGATCTGATCTATAAATCTGGTCGTCCTTCTCTCAGCTCTGTTTCATGGTGAATAATGAATATTTAATCATTCTAACGTATTTTATCTTTTAACCAAAGCAGGCAGTTCTGGTCCAACATGACAACAATCAATCACAAATCAATAAATCCATTTCAGTCAGCCAACTCACGTTTGGAATGTTTATTACAGCAGTATAGCATATTTCGATTTTGGCGTCTAGGCTCCGACCTCATCACTCCCCGCAGATATGTTTACATAGAGATATTGGGGAGTGATGAGCAAATACCTTAACCCCCTGTCGGAGCCTACAGGTAGATGCCGGGGTGGTGGTGGGGCTTACAGAACAGCAGGCAGCAATAGCTTACAGCGCAGCAGCAGCAATACGGATGCAGGGCAACAGCGGCATTGACAGAGCAGAGGGAGAGCTGGGAAATTGTGCAGTTTAAATAGACCGCCAGATTGGAAGGGTACGCTTGGTTAGTGATTATGGAATAAGGCATGTCATGTGGGTAATCAGCGCAGCTCAAGTTGACCTGCCTGAAGTAGCTTGCAGGCTTCGCTCCATAAATCAATTCAATTTAATTCAATTCAGTTTTATTTGTATAGAGCAAAATTATAACAGAAGTTATCTCAGGACACTTTTCAAATAGAGCAGGTCTAGACTGAACTCCTTATAACATTATATACAGAGACCCAACAGTACCACCATGAGCAAGACCTTGGAGACAAGGGCAAGGAGAAACTTTTAAGAGGCAGAAACCTAGGACAGACCCTTCGGCTCTAGGTGGGTGAGAGAGAGAGAGAGAGAGAGAGACAGAGAGAGAGAGAGACAGACAGACAGAAAGACAGAGAGAGAGACAGAGAGTGAGAGAGACAGACAGACAGACAGAGAGACACAGACAGACAGTTGCACAGCAACAACAGTAGCAACAACTACACGAATAGTAGTGACTGATGATGATGAACATGAAGAAGATGAAATGAACTAGCAGGGTGTGTTCCTCTGGTTGTTTACAGACAGAGACCTGCAGACTGACGGATTCAGTATGGAGTCCTGCAGAGCCATGGTCAGCCTCATGGACGTATCCTCACTCTGCTGATTCGGTTGGTTCTGCTGGTTGTGTTGGTTGTGTTGGTTGTGTTGGTTCTGCTGGTTCTGTTGTTTATTTAAATAACAGAAGGTCTCTGAAAGAACTGAAAAAAAACTGACGGTCAGTCTTCAGGATGGTTGATGGAGGCTCACTGCTGATCAGTATATAGATTGATATACTGACAGGAACTAGGAAAAGAGATCACATCTCTCCTGTACTAGCTTCTCTGCATTGGCTCCCTGTAAAATTTATAATATAAATTAAAATCCTCCTCCTCACCTATAAAGCTCTTCATGGTCAGGCCCCTTCATATCTTAAAGAGCTCATAGTACCCTATTACCCCTCTAGAACACTACGTTCTCTGAATGCTGGGCTACTTGTGGTTCCTACAGTCTCTAAAAGTAGAACAGGAGCCAGAGCCTTCAGTTACCAAGCTCCTCTCCTGTGGAACCAGCTTCCAGTTGTGGTTCGGGAGGCAGACACCCTCACCACATTCAAGAGTAGGCTTAAGACATTCCTCTTTGATAAAGCTTATAGTTAGGGCTGGATCAGGTGAGTCCTGAACCATCCCTTAGTTATGCTGCTATAGGCCTAGACTATCGGGGGATTTCCCATGGTGCACTGAGCTCCTCTCTTCCTCTTTCTTTCTGCACTCATTCATGTTCCATTAATGCATGTTACTAACTTCACTTCTTCCCCGGAGTTCTTGTGCTTTCTTGTCTTGCAGGTTTTCATGGATCCTGGTGGAGCCTCCTGCCATGGTCCTGCTTGACTGCCATTGCTAATATCACTGATATTATTGTTATTATTGCTCATTGTCCCTCATCAGTGTGGCTGTTGTCATTGTCATCATCATCTCTCTCTCTCTGTTTGTTGCGTTGACCTTGACTTGAGCTCAGAAAGACGGCAGCGCTCGGCTCGGTCTGCTGGAGTTTCAGGTCCTCTGGAACAAGATCAGGAAGTGGCTGGTGAGTTCTGTTTACTCCACTGCTTTGTTTAATAACAAGTTATTAAAGTTAGCTTAGCTTGGTGGCTAACAGCCTTGCGTAAAGCAGTGACAGAGGATTGTAGATTGTTCATTGATCTCATCTGATTACTGCAGGGGATCTTCAGGGAGTTCGATCTGGATAAATCAGGTTGTATGAGCTCCTACGAAATGCGTCTGGCGTTGGAAAATGGCGGTAAGTCTGGCTGATCTTGATGTGACAGCGTTAATGATACGTCTGGGTTGTTCTGAACTAATGAGACGACTGTCCTCAGGGTTCAAACTGAACAACAAGTTATATCAGATGCTGGTCGCTCGCTTCGCTGACAACGAGATCATTGACTTCGACAACTTCACCTGCTGTCTGGTCAAACTGGAGGCCATGTTCAGTACGTACAGCTCTGAACATGTGGACGAGTCACTGATAGGATGCTCTTCCTGTTCAGATTTATTTTACATATACGTAATTTGTAATATGTAATATGTAATATGTAATGGTCTGTAAGGTTTCACGTTGTAGTGAAAGGTTTGAAATGTTTGTCCTCTCGTGGTGTTTCTCTCAGAGGCGTTCCAGGAGCTGGACCGAAAAAAGACAGGAATTGCAGAGTTGAACATCATCGAGGTACGAAACACAAATCCAACTTTAACCAAATGCTCTGGAATAAACATATCTGTTTTATTAAAAAACCTATTAAATAACTTTCATAGTTTATAATAATAAGTGTTTTCACTTTAAATAAATACAAACACGCAACTTTATTATCACTGTACAAACACACAATTTTATTATCACTGTACAAACACAACTTTATTACTGTACAAACACAACTTTATTATCACTGTACAAACACAACTTTATTATTCAATTCAATTCAATAAAAATTTTATTTGTATAGCGCCAATTCATAACAGAAGTTATCTCAGGACACTTTTCAAATAGAGCAGGTCTAGACCGAACTCTTTATAACATTTACAGAGACCCAACAGTACCACCATGAGCAAGCACTTGGCGACAAGGGCAAGGAAAAACTGCCTGTTAAAAGGCAGAAACCTAGGACAGATCCTTCGGCTCTAGGTGGGTGGTCGTCTGTCTCGACGAGTTGGGGTGAGAGAGAGAGAGAGAGAGAGACAGAGAGAGAGAGACAGACAGACAGACAGACATGTGTACAGCAACCACAGTATTGGCAATGGCAATCTAGCAGGACCATGGCAAGGGGCTCCACCAGGATCGATAAGAACCTGCGAGACGAGAAAGCACAAGAACTCTGGGAAGAAGTGAAGTTAGTAACATGCATTAATGGGACACGAATGAGTGCAGAAAGAGAGAGGAAGAGAGGAGCTCAGTGCAACATGGGAAATCCCCCAATAGTCTAGGCCTATAGCAGCATAACTAAGGGATGGTTCAGGACTCACCTGATCCAGCCCTAACTATAAGCTTTATCAAAGAGGAATGTCTTAAGCCTACTCTTGAATGTGGTGAGGGTGTCTGCCTCCCGAACCACAACTGGAAGCTGGTTCCACAGGAGAGGAGCTTGGTAACTGAAGGCTCTGGCTCCTGTTCTACTTTTAGAGACTATAGGAACCACAAGTAGCCCAGCATTCAGAGAACGTAGTGTTCTAAAGGGGTAATAGGGTACTATGAGCTCTTTAAGATATGAAGGGGCCTGACCATGAAGAGCTTTGTAGGTGAGGAGGAGGATTTTAAATTCTATTCTACATTTTACAGGGAGCCAATGCAGAGAAGCTAGTACAGGAGAGATGTGATCTCTTTTTCTAGTTCCTGTCAGTACTCGTGCTGCAGCGTTCTGAATTAATTGGAGCGTTTTAATGGACTTATTGGGGCAACCTGATAATAAAGAGTTGCAGTAATCCAGCCTTGAAGTAACAAATGCATGGATTAGTTTTTCTGCATCTGTCTGTGATAGGATGTGTCTAATTTTTGTAATATTACGTAAATGAAAGAAGGCAGTCCTGAAGGTTTGTTTTATGTGGGAATTAAATGACAAATCCTGATCAAAAATAACTCCAAGATTCCTGACAGTGGTGCTAGAGGCCGAGGTAATGCCATCTCGAGTAACTATATCTTTAGACAGTGAGTCTCTAAGGTTTTTGGGGCCAAGAACAAGAATTTAGTTTTTTTCTGAGTTTAACATCAGAAAATTGCAGCTCATCCAGGATTTTATGTCCTTAAGACATGTTTGTAATTTAGATAATTGATTAATTTCATCGGGCTTAATCGATAGATATAACTGCGTATCATCTGCATAACAGTGAAAGTTAATGGAGTGATTCCTAATAATGTTGCCTAAAGGGAGCATATATAAAGTAAATAGTATTGGTCCAAGTACAGAACCTTGTGGAACTCCATGACTAACTGTAGTATTATCACTGTACAAACACACAATTTTATTATCACTGTACAAACACACAACTTTATTATCACTGTACAAACACACAACTTTATTAACACTGTACAAACACAACTTTATTATCACTGTACAAACACACAACTTTATTATCACTGTACAAACACACAACTTTATTATCACTGTACAAACACACAACTTTATTATCACTGTACAAACACACAACTTTATTAACACTGTACAAACACAACTTTATTATCACTGTACAAACACACAACTTTATTATCACTGTACAAACACACAACTTTATTATCACTGTACAAAACACAACTTTATTAACACTGTACAAACACAACTTTATTATCACTGTAGAAACACACAACTTTATTAACACTTTACAAACACACAACTTTATTAACACTGTACAAACACAACTTTATTAACACTGTACAAACACACAACTTTATTATCACTGTACAAACACACAACTTTATCATCACTGTACAAACACAACTTTATTATCACTGTACAAACACAACTTTATTAACACTGTACAAACACACAACTTTATTATCACTGTACAAACACAACTTTATTAACACTGTACAGACACACAACTTTATTAACACTGTACAAACACACAACTTTATTATCACTGTACAAACACAACTTTATTAACACTGTACAAACACAACTTTATTATCACTGTACAAACACACAACTTTATTAACACTGTACAAACACACAACTTTATTATCGCTGTACAAACACAACTTTATTAACACTGTACAAACACACAACTTTATTATCACTGTACAAACACAACTTTATTATCACTGTACAAACACAACTTTATTAACACTGTACAAACACACAACTTTATTATCACTGTACAAACACAACTGTATTATCACTGTACAAACATAACTTTATTAACACTGTACAGACACACAACTTTATTAACACTGTACAAACACACAACTTTATTATCACTGTACAAACACACAACTTTATTAACACTGTACAAACACAACTTTATTAACACTGTACAAACACAACTTTATTAACACTGTACAAACACACAACTTTATTAACACTGTACAAACACAACTTTATTAACACTGTACAAACACAACTTTATTAACACTGTACAAACACACAACTTTATTAACACTGTACAAACACAACTTTATTAACACTGTACAAACACAACTTTATTAACACTGTACAAACACACAACTTTATTATCACTGTACAAACACACAACTTTATTATCACTGTACAAACATAACTTTATTAACACTGTACAAACACACAACTTTATTATCACTGTACAAACACACAACTTTATTATCTTATTATTTTATTAATATTGTCTGACGTCGTCCGGCTCTACTTCAACTCCGCTAACTGTTAATGTAGCTGTTGTGAGCGTGCAACCAAACGGGCCTAACCAGATTAGAGAGTATAAAGTACCTCAGAATTACAGTACTTGAGTACATGTTTATTATCAGTGTAAAAAGTCCTTTAAAAAGTATTTATTCTTTTAACAAACTGATTTGTGTTTTTCCTCCTCCTCTTCTTCAGTGGCTCTATGTGACCATGTGTGGCTAAAGAAGAACAAGAAGAATAACGTGAACTTCAAAGTGCTTCCAACAGGAGCCCAAACTACCAACCCGACTGTAACACTGCAGCTGTTCACACTGTAGTAGTAATACAGTACTAATGTAGTAGTACCGCATTAGTACTGTATCTTCATCTCTTATCATCATTATTACAGTACTACATATTGACAGTACATATTGACAGTACTACATATTGACAGTACATATTGATAGTTCATATTGACAGTACATATTGACAGTACATATTGACAGTACATATTGACAGTACATATTGACAGTACTACATATTGATAGTACATATTGACAGTACTACATATTGACAGTACATATTGACAGTACAGATTGACAGTACATATTGACAGTACATATTGACAGTACAGATTGACAGTACATATTGACAGTATAACATATTGACAGTACATATTGACAGTATAACATATTGACAGTACAGATTGACAGTACATATTGATAGTTCATATTGACAGTACTACATATTGACAGTACATATTGACAGTATAACATATTGACAGTACATATTGACAGTATAACATATTGACAGTACATATTGACAGTACTACATATTGAAAGTACTGCAGCTGCTTTATTTATGCACTGGCTGCTGGCTGCAGATAGGGGGCGCTCCAGCTCAAACATTATGACCACTTTATTTAGTGATGTATTTATTGACGAGCTGCTGCCTGTCGCCTCTGTGTCAGAGCTCTGAGGACTGAGGGACAGTGAATGCCTCAGCAGGTGGAGGCATTCAGGTTCAGCTTGGTCAAACAGACGCTGATGTAACCGATGCTTCATGTTATTAAAGGAAACAGAACAAGTGACTGTGTGATTGGATGTTTCTCTCCCTGGTTCACTGTTTGAAGCCACTGGTCACAGCCGAAATGATCCATAACTGGAATTACTTAAAGTTTAATTTAAGTAGTTTAATGTGGAGCCTTATGGAGACTCACTGCTGGCGCCTCTGGTGGATGTTAGAAGAACTGCAGGGTTTTAATTTCCCATTTCCCCCTTATAGCACAGTAGCCATACATTAAAGAGCGCAACTTTAATGGTGAATGTGTTTAGATGGCTGTGTCCAAATCTGAAGTCGGTCCAATAAATGCCCTAGGAGGAGTTCGTTCAAATACAACGTGTGCAAATTGCGACAAAATCCAAAATGGCCGACTTCCTGTTGGGTTTGAGGTATGGGTCCAAGAGACTTTTTTGCTTCTTTTATCATGATACACATGCGTAGCAATTTTCATACATGTCAGTCATACGTGTCTTGGGGGCTGACTCTGGGGGGCGTGGCTAAGCCATTTTGCGACGCCCATCCACGGGACCAAGACAATACTTCGGCGTTCGCCACCACTGAATTCTGTGCAAAGTTTCATGAGTTTTCAGGCATGTTTAGTCCCCCCAAAAGTGTGATTTTTTTTATTTTTGCTGAATCGCCATGGCAACATGGTTCCATGCAAATTCTTAAGATTCATAATATGTGATCCTCATCCTCCTAAGGAACTTCTCACGTAATTTCAGCTGGATCTGGTCAATATGCTTGAAGATATAAATAAAAGTACAAAAAATACATTTCCTTTCACCACTAGGTGGCGCTCTCCCTATTACTGAATATTATCACATAGAAGTGTTCAAGGTGGGACTCTTATCAGGCAAGTGAAGTTTGGAGCCGATTGGACTATGTACACTCAAGTTATAGCAACTTTGTGTGTTCTGGCGGTACATCAAAGTTTGACGCCACGCCATGTACACGCCCTTTAATAAGAACTCACCACAATAAAGAAAAATATCATCAACAACATGTTTTGCATTTCTTGACTAGATTTCAGCTTGATCTGATCATCCTACTAGGAGTAGAACATGAAAGTATAAAAAATGACATTTCCTTTCACCACTAGGTGGCGCTCTCACTTCTACTGAATATTATCACATAGACGTGTTCAGGGCGGGACTCTTATCAAACATGTGAAGTTTCATTGAGATCGGATCATGTACTCAGAAGTTATGAAGAAGCCCTCTTTCATGGCGAAGGTTTGAAATTGGATGCCACAGGACGCCACGCCACGGGCACAATGTTGGACGAAACAAACTGAGGAGCACAACTTTTAATGGTGAATGTGTTTAGATGGCTGTGTCCAAGTCGGTCCAATAAATGCCCTAGGAGGAGTTCGTTCAAATAAAACGTGTGTAAATCGCCAAAAATGGCCACAAAATCCAAAATGGCTGACTTCCTGTTGGGTTTGAGGTATGGGTCCAAGAGACTTTTCTGCTTCTTTTATCATCGTACACATGCGTAGCAATTTTCGTACATGTCGGCCTTACGTGTCTTGGGGGCTGACTCTGGGGGGCGTGGCTTAGCCGTTTGGCCGCGCCCATCCGCGGGACCAAGACAATACCTTAGCGTTTGCCACGACTGAATTTTGTGCAAAATTTCATGAGTGTTCGGGCATGTTTAGCCCCCAAAAGGTGTTCAAATGTTAATATTAAAGCTGATTTTCGCTACGTCGCCATGGCAACAAAAATTCTTAAGATTCATGACATGTCTTTGCCATCGTCCTAAGGGACTGCTGTAAGAATTTCAGCTGGATCTGGGCAATCTGCTGGGAGATACATATAAAAGAAAAAATATATATGTGATGCAATCTGGGAAAACCCATCACATGGTGAAATTTTACCAACTTAAGATTCTGATACCACCTTAAGGTGGTATCAGCTTTCAAGCGCTTTTCAAATCTGTTTTCCTTTTTTTCATAGCATGTCTGTAACAAATGTTATTATTATCTGAAGTCAGCTTATTAACATGGTTTTATGAAACGGAATTTTGAGAAAAACAGGTTTAAAGATAGACATTCTAAATAGAACATTTTAACAATCAAATATCACATGTTAAATTTTCATTACTCTATTATGGCACAGACTTATTTTAGTCACTGTATATGTTGGAAAAGATACAAAATTGTTACTTTGGCACCAAGCAAACACACAACACTCATGAATTAGATGAAAATCAAGAATGTATTTATTCATTCAACATTCAATGAATTGAATTTGTTTTACGTAACTTTTTCTCTTCTTTTTTTTAAGTTACTGCACATTATACATGTATTAGACAATGTCAGTATTATTCTGTTATTATGCAGTATATTATCAAATCATGCAGTATAAATATGCAGAAAATATAACGAATATGCAGTATAAATACAGAAAATATCAGAAATATGCAGTATATATATATACAGAAAATATAGAAATATGCAGTATATCATGACTTATTGTAAATTCAAATGGAAAAGTTGAGTAACAACACTAACTATAGATACAACCCTTGTATTCAAGACTATTATACAATGACTGTCCCCAGAATCACTGAATTAATCCTCATTCATGTTTACAGCCTGAGGGAGGGGGCAAACCAAGTCCTGCTTGTCTTTTGTCACAAATTCCCTTATCTCATTGTAAAGATGTAAAGATACTGTTGCCTTTTAGCATCAAGCCCCTTTGGGAGGAGTTGATCAGGCAAAGCACTTGGGTCAAGTGCATCAAAGTCGACACCATTTCTCCCTAAGTCTTGGGAAACTTCCTCACTATTAAGGATTTTTTTCATTCTTACTATTGTGGAGCCCTGACAGAATAAGAAATGATGAAAGCCTTTAATGGTGGGTAATTTTCTAAAGTATGTACCCAAGAATGTGCTCCAGTCATACATAGGTACAAGAACAGTGCCATCCTCTCTACCACAAAGACATGGTACATTGAGTCCAGATGGACTTGAGTTTTGAACCACTTGGGCAATGTCATCCAAGCAGTCAACTTTATTCCTCCTAAAATTTCTTTTAAAGAGCCCAAAGCACCAGTCACAGGAAAACTTTGTGTGCCCAGCAAGAAGGAAACTCATTTTGATTGACACATGACGACCTGTCAAGACACGCCACAATAGATACCACATCACAAAGGAGTTCTTGTTTTGTCCCGCACAGTTATCTGCATGAAGGTGCATGTGCATTTCACCCAGTCCATAATTCTCAAGATATGAGTGTAAAAGGCTAATAACACAGTTGCTACCTTTTCCAGTCTGTATGGATTCATCCAACAAGAAAGTAACCTGCTTTGGCAAGGCCTCACATGCTACACCAAAAACTCCACACTTACGTGGAGTTTTGAAATACATCGGCCCTGGTTGGAGGGGATCATTGGGGTAGTGAATCTGTTGTGCAAAGTCCATGCTATAATGTACCATTCCCTCATAACTACAAGGACTGTGTGGACCTAACTCTAACCCAGCAGGCAAGTTTGCTTTTGAATCCTTACAAAGTTGCTGATAGTGTGTACGCTCTACTCTAGCTTTCTCCAGATGTTTAGTGGCCAGACGATGCAGCTCTTCCTTCTCTGAATCAGCCTTATTGGCAGCCTCACTAATGCGTTTTTGATATTTTTGACATGTCCAACACAGGTCAGTTGCTGGCCGCATTGTGACAACAAATGGCACCACTTCCCGCCAGATACGACGAAACGTAACTACAGAAACCACACGCTGATTTGCTGCAGCAACTGCCACACAGTAATCAGAGTACACCTTCACCTTCGTACAGTTAGTTGGAAGAAGTTTCAAATCACTCCTCCAAAAGCCTGGTACCCTCCCTGGAAGATGCATGCCATGACACCATCACCACATTCAAGAGTAGGCTTAAGACATTCCTCTTTGATAAAGCTTATAGTTAGGGCTGGATCAGGTGAGTCCTGAACCATCCCTTAGTTATGCTGCTATAGGCCTAGACTATCGGGGGATTTCCCATGGTGCACTGAGCTACTCTCTTCCTCTCTCTTTCTGCACTCATTCATGTCCCTTTAATGCATGTTACTAACTCCACTTCTTCCCCGGAGTTCTTGTGCTTTCTCGTCTCGCAGGTTCTCATGGATCCTGGTGGAGCCTCCTGCCATGGTCCTGCTTGACTGCCATTGCCAATACTGTTGTTGCTGTGCACCTGTCTGTCTGTCTGTCTGTCTGTCGCTCTCTCTCTCTCTCTCTCTCTCTCTGTCTCTCTCTCTCACCCCAACTGGTCGAGGCAGACGACCACCCACCTAGAGCCGGAGGATCTGTCCTAGGTTTCTGCCTTTTAACAGGCAGTTTTTCCTTGCCCTTGTCGCCAAGTGCTTGCTCATGGTGGTACTGTTGGGTCTCTGTAATTAATGTTAAAGAGTTCGGTCTAGACCTGCTCTATTTGAAAAGTGTCCTGAGATAACTTCTGTTATGAATTGGCGCTATACAAATAAAATTGAATTGAATTGAATTGAATTGAATGAGTTTCAGCATAGTTTACAATGAAATCTGCAACATACATATTGTCCTCTTTCTTCAGTGCATTAGGAGGCTGACGCTTTTTGTTGCCATGCATTCGAGGAGTAACACCATGCTCTTCATAATGCTTAATAAGAGCATCTAGCTTGACCTGGCCAATGGCATGGAGATATTTAAACGTATCCCTGCATATTTTCTCCCCATGGTGAAAGAAATCAGTTCTTTGGGACTTCCGAACTGTCTGTTCTTTTTTATGGGTGCGGGATGTTAGCTGAAAAAGATGCATTCCACACGAGAGTTTAGCTAGAATGGCGATATCTAGCTCTTCCCTTGTCATTTCCAGGAAACAGTAGCGAATCATCTGCAGCTCCTCTTGCATGAAACGTGTTGAACATGGATGACCATTGTTGTATTTGCATGCACATACAAACTCTTGCACATCATCACCATTATCCTCTTGAAGTGGAACTGGTGGTAGTATCTCTGCTACATCTTCAATAATGGATATGGGATGGTCATCATCTG